CGCCCGGACGCTCACTCACTCACTGCGGGCCTGGGCAGCGAGATGCCCCCCGCCGGGGTGGTGTTTTTTTTTTGCTGCGGCCCCGCCGAAAAAACACTCACTCACTGTGGGCTGGGGCGACCCTTGCGGCAAGGCCCGGGTGGTGCTTGTTTTTTTGCTGCGGCCCCGGCGAACCCGGCGAGCCAAGAACAAAAAATGTCTGGTGTACTACACTAGGGTCTAAAAAGACTCGGCGGGGCCACAGCAATCAAAAAACACCGCTTCCCAAAATTAGGGTCCCTTCTGGGTCCCCAAATAGTACGGCACCCTTTTAAAAAGGACCCTAAAAGGGACCCTACTTGAGAACTACCCGTATAGATTTTTTAAGGTTTCGCGCCTCGGGTTTTGGGGTGTAGGGTTTTTGGGTTTGAGGTTGGGGGCTTAAGGTTCAGGGTCTAAGGTTTAGCGTTTGGGGCTAATAACTTAGGGTTGAGAGTTTAGGGTTTGGGGTTTAGGGTGTTGGGTTTAAGGTTGGGGGCTTAAGGTTCAGGGTCTAAGGTTTAGCGTTTGGGGTTAATAACTTAGGGTTGAGGGTTTAGGGTTGAGGGTTTAGGGTTTGGGGTTTGGGGTTTAGGGTTTTGGGTTTAAGGTTGGGGGTCTAAGGTTTAGGGTTTGGGGTTGATAACTTAGGGTGTAGGCTTCAGGATGAAAGGGTCTTCTTAGAGGTTTAGGCTTAGGGTTTCGGATCGGGTCTTACGGGTTTAGGTTTAGGGCATCAAACAGGGTCTAGGGTTGAGGGTTTAGCAATTAAGGGGGCTTAGGGTTTAGGGGTTTGGGGGAAACCCTAAACCCTAAACCCTGAACCCCAAACCGTGGGGTTTAGGGGTTTAGGGGCTAGGGTTTAGTAAGTTTCGGGATCGGAGGATGGCTTTAGGGTTTTTAGGGGCGTAGGGTTTAGGGTTTAGGGTTTAGGGTTTAGGGTGTAGGGTTTAGGGCTTAGGGTTTGGTTTAGGGGTTCAGTGTTCGGAGGATCCGGCCTGCTTTGAGTTGTACAAAACAGCCGCTTATGGCCTTCAAGGGTGCAGCATTCTGGGTCTTAGGGTTAATTCTAAGGGCCCGAAAAATTAGAATAGGGTTTTGGGGGTCCTTCATAGTATAACCATAATAAGGAACCCATAAATAATAATATGGGTAATTCTTGAGGCCCCTAATATTTCCCTAAACCCTCAACCCCTAAACCCGAAACCCTAAACCCTAAACCCTAATAGGAGGTTTCAGAGTTGGCGGCTTGAGGGTTGAGGGTTGTCGGCGAGGGTGTCGGGCTGGCTAGGGGCAACCTGCTGCTCCGGCCAGAAAATGCAAGCAGCACCTGTAATATAGGGGCCTTAATACTAAAAATAGGGTTTTGGGGTATCTTATACCATAACTATAATAACGGAACATAGGGTTTGGGGTATCTTATACCATAGCTATAATAAAGGAACTCCCGAAGCCCTATTCTTATTGAGTAGAAGCCCTATTCTTATTGAGTAGGGCTATTGGGGAAAGCCCTCATGCCCTAAACCCTAAACCCTAAACCCTAAAACGCTAAACCCTAAAACCCTAAACCCAAAGACCCTAAAACCCTAAGACCCTAAAACCCTAGACCATAAACCCTAGACCCTAAGCCCATCAACTGAAGCCCGGCCCCTCGAGTCTTCAGCCGTTTTGGCGTCTTGAGCCGAAGGGGCTTAGGGTTTAGGGTTTTAGGTCTTAGGGTTTTAGGGTCTTTGGGTTTAGGGTTTTAGGGTTTAGGGTTTGGGGTTGCTGGATGGCAGCATAAGCACCTAGCGGACAATCGTGAAGGGTAAGTTTAGGGTTTAGTGTTTAGAGTCTGGGGTTTAGGGTTTAGGGTCTAGGGTTTAGGGTTTTAGGGTTCAGGGTAAGAATCGCAACAAACTCCAGGCTTCCAGTTTGGTACCTGGCCGCACTGCTTCCGACTGCACAGCTCTGCCATCGCCCTGAAGCAGCCTGGCAATCCCACGGTTAGGGTTTAGGGTTTAGGGTTTAGGGTTTAGGCGAATCTTGAAGTTTGTCTGCTCCGTTGTTGCCTGCCGTCAGGCTTGCAAGCGCACGTTCGAAGTGATCGCACCTTCTTGCTCTCTTGCAAAAGTGGGGCATGCAGCCCAATCCAGCCATTGTTAGACCCTAAACCCTAAACCCTAAACTGCTAGACACAAAAGCTTTGCGTTGCAGAAGACTGCCGCCACTTACTCACCTCTAGCCCGGCTCTCGCCGTTCCCACGCATTGTTGCGGTCTTGGTCATTGTTATGCTCACTCCTCAAGCTTGTCTCGGCTTTGAAGTAACCAGGGAGAAAAAAGTATAGACTTTTATGTTATAATGGTTCCTTTAAGGCACAGGTCCCCCCAAACAAGTATTAAAGTATGGCACTCCAAAGCACAGTTGTACTACCTTATACACCTCATAAACTCTAAACCCGCAGCCTCCATAATCAAGCCGTAGGCTCTGAACCCCCATGGCCACAAACCCCGTAGAACCCTTGCAGAACCCTTGTAGAAACCCTCTTGCACCCGCATCAACCCATACGGTAACACTTACAGAATCTTCAGAAAGTCTAAGACTTAACTATCACCAAGCCAAAGCCTTAAACCCTTAACCAAAACCCTAAATCCTAAACCAAAGCCCTAGACCTTAAACCCTAAACCCTAAACCCTAAACCCTAAACCCTAAACCCTAAACCCTAAAACCTAAACCCTATACCTTAAACCCGAAATGGTCACAAGCCGAATGCTGAGCACAGGTCAATCGTTGCCGCTCGCCCTGCGGCCAGAGCTCCAGCAAAGCCTTTCGTTGAAGGGTTGGGGCTTCGGGTTCAGAAAGGTTTAGGGTTTAGGGTTCAGGGTTCAAGTTTGGGGTTTAGGGTTTAGGGTTTAGGGTTTAGGGTTTAGGGTTTAGGGTTTAGGGGTTTAGGGTTTAGGGTTTGGGGTTTAGGGTTCAGGGTTTGGAGATGAACATATTTGGTGTGTATAGGTTTCCCGAGGCCCTAGACAGCCTGTATAGGATTTTCAGCTGTAGTGTTTAGAGGCTACAGAAATGTACAGCCGAGGGGTTTTACGGGGCCTAGGGCTTCGAGTTTCGGGTTTAGGCTCTAGACGTTAGGGCGCAAAGTGGGCAGTTTGGGATTTAAGGTATCGGCTTCCCAAATCCCAGATCCTGAAACTAAGCCTACCTCCTAAACCCAATCTCGGAGGTTTGAGTTTAGGGTTTAGGGTTCAGGATGTAGGGTTCACTGAACAATCGCTTGACATGCTGAAACCCTGGGCATGACTTTCTCTTGCTGGGTTACGTAGTCGCGTAGTGGCTTATCAGGTGCCCTCTTGGGGGTATATGAAAAAATGATCATGTTTAATCCTTATTGGGTTTTCTTATGACAAAATTGTAAAATTGCATCCCCTATGCTCTAAACCCTAAGGACCCATTTATCAGAATAAGAGAATGCAGAGGCACCCGAAGTTCGAATCCCCGAACCATCAAGCCTAGTGAGCAGACTAATGCTCGGATGGCAGGCAGAACAAGTCTATAGACCCTCGAAACCCTAGATCCTAAACCCTAAATCCTAAACCTGTAGGGTTTAGGTTTAGGGTTTTGGCTACTTTGCCCTAAGCCTCATGACGCCTAGACAGACCAACACCCTAAACCCGAATCTACACCTCAGGGGCGATCCAGGGTGAGCCGGAGCGCCCCTAAGCCACGAGGCCCTAAAAGGTGCCCCTAAACCCTAAACCCT